ATATATATATATATATATATATATATATATATATATATATATATATATATATATATATATACATATTTAAAATATATATACACATACACAATTTTTTTCAGCCAATCATTATCGCAATAATTTAGACCTTCCTTTATTTATCAACAGTAATGTACTCGATGAGTCATCTACCCTTCATCTTCTAGGATTAACTCTCACTTTTGACCTTTCTTGGAAACCTTATATTAAATCCGTTGCAAAATTAGCATCTGCTAAAGTTGCATCTCTTTATCGAGCTCGACACTTTTTTTACTCTGGATTCTATTCTCTATCTCTATAAATCTCAAATCCGGCCTTGTATGGAATACTGTTGCCATATCTGGGGTGGATCTTCTAATGATGCCCTTTCTCTTTTAGACAAGGTGCAAAAACGCATTGCAAACATAGTTAGACTTTTGCAGCCAACCTTCAACCTTTGTCACATCGTCGTAATGTTGCTTCTCTTTCTCTTTTCTACAAATACTATAATGGGCACTGCTCTAAAGAGCTAGTGTCTCTTGTGCCATCTACTAAAATTCATTCTCGTGTTACTCGTCATTCAATTAACTCTCATCCTTTTTCTGTTACTGTTCTTAAGTGCTTCAAAAACTCTTATTCATATATATATATATATATATATATATATATATATATATATATATATATATATATATATATATATATATATATATATATATATATATATATATATGTATGTATATATATATATATATATATATATATATATAGAGAGAGAGAGAGAGAGAGAAAAATATTTACTTCTATTTCTCAATGGTTCCTTTTTTCAATAAATTTTTTTATATATAGGCAACTGTAAATGAAAAGGCTATATTCACCAATGTTGATGTTAGTTGGCCTGGATTTGTTCATGACTCAAGAATATTTAAAAACTCCAATATATATCTACTATTAAAAGGTTTGGAAAATAGAGGATATCTTCTCGGAGATGCAGGGTATGGTATAACCCCATTTTTGATGACTCCATTTGAAAATGCTCAAACAGAACTTGAAATGAATTTTTACAAAAAACATGCTAAAAACAGAGTAATTGTAGAACATGCATTTGGTCAATTAAAAAGACGTTTTCCAATTCTCAGATACTGCGTAAGTAACTATATATATATATATATATATATATATATATATATATATATATATATATATATATATATATATATATATATATATATAAGTATATATATATATATATATATATATATATATATATATATATATATATATATATATATATATATATATATATATATATATATATATATATATATATATATATATATATATATATATATATATATATATATATGATGGTATTTATATATCAATTAATATGTTAATTTTTTTCCTGATAGATAAATTGAGAGTAATTTTTGTACAACTACTTTAATGTAACTGGTGTAATAATTTTATAGGTAAGAATTAAGCCAGAGATGATAGCTACATGTATCACTGCATGCTTTATACTGCACAATATTGCAAAAACTTTAAACAATCCAGATTTTGAGAATGAAGATGTCGAAGAAGATGATGAAGAAATTGTTCCTGAAATTGAAGAAGGAAATGAACAGCAACTTCGTTTACTTGGTCAGCAGTGCAGAAATGAAATTGCTTTGGCAATATTAAATTAAGAGACTTATGTAGAGAGAATTGTGTAATTAACATCTTTTTTGTTATCAACTTTGTAATATGAAAATTTTAACAGTGCAATGTCTTTTTATTTGTAACAAATTGAAAACAACATGCATAATTTTTATTTTATTGTATTGTTTATATTATTAAAAATATACTTTCAAAGTTTTTTTAGATAAATAACTATTTTAAAGAATTTTTAAGATGTGCTAATAGAACATTTTTAAATTTTATTTTCAGTAAAATAAACTAAAGTTTCTCAAATGTCAGTTATAATATGTTTATGACTTAATAACTTATTTGATAATACTTTTATGTAGTAAATGTTCATTATTAGGACATTATTAAAATATGCATTATTTGGTAATACATTTTTATTATGCTTTAAATTATAGAAATATTTTTAAACAGATTATAACTGACATTTAAGCAATAAAATGAAACATAAAAACTAACTGGAAATAAAACATAAAGAAGTGACATTTTAAAATAGATTTTAGTTGCTGTGAAATGTATAAAGATACATTAATTAATTTAAATTAATTCATCCTTCTTTTATTACAATGTATAACGTTTTAAAATGTTGAAAATGTAATGGATAGTAAAAAAATTAATTTAAGTAAATTTAAAACTTTTGTATATATATTTTTTTTATTTTAATTCACCTCCTCAAGGCCAAGAAGGCCACTACAGACGAGGAGGCTACTTATTTGTGGCTATAACCCTCTCTCAACTCTATAACTCCGAAACACGAACCTTGATGAACAAGGCCGCTGCACGGAGAAACGAGTTGAGCGCGGTACTACCAGGGACGTGGTGAGGATCGAACTCCGAACCACTCGTTTATGAAGCAAGCGCTCTACCACTACACCACTACCGCATAAATTATTTAACAGTAACCAAAATTTTCACGTTTTTATGTTTTGTTTTCATCAACATTTATGCCAACAACAATATCTCCTCTTCATTTAATATATGGTGGGAAGTAGTATACTTTAACTTTAAACTTTTCAACCGATAATATTTTAGCTTTTCCAGCATGACCGCACGCTGTAGCTCTGTACTTGTCCATTTTATAATTTCTTTAGTTTCACCGCGTAGTTTTAATCTTTTTGGAATTGACCTCGATGCTTGAGAAGATGTGTTCCTTGAGAAAAAAATCAATTTTGGTAGACTAAAATTTCCTAGATATTTATAGTTTTACATAAAATATAAAAAGAATAAAACTATATTGGAAACAGGTGTACTGCAAATATACTCTATTAAAGAATAAAAAACCACAATAGTAACTTACTGCAACTACTTTTAACATTACCAGAAAATTCAACTGATGGTGACAATGAAAATATAGTTTGACTTTTTTATGAGTTGTTGAATACAGAATTTGTTTCAGAAACACTTGAACTGGGAGTTTGATCTATGCCTGCAGATATTGCTCCTAAGCATATTATTCATCTTCACATTTGTTAAAACTTTGGCTAGCTATATTATTTTCACTTGATTCAATTGAAATCTGGTTTGAAAAAGCCATTTTTAAATAATAAAAGTTAAAAAAGCTACTTATTTCATAGTCATAAGAAATAGATCTTATTTCTTATGGCTATGCTTATATCCGCAACGGCATAGACACAAAAGCAATTGCTTGCGAGCATTAGCAAAACTTTATTCACACATGTTTGAGCAATTGCTATTGCGGCGAGCATTTGCTTTTAGCTTTTACTTTTTCTCAGAGCAATTGCTTGTGAGCAATTCCTCTTTTTTATTCACCCGGCCTTATAACTTACGCAAAACTATTGTTATAAATAGATATAGTCTGAAACCACGATAAAAAGCAGTTTTCTGACTTATAACATTTTTTTTTATCTATAATTTTGGAAACCGCACGTACTCGCAGCTGATTTTTAATAAATTAATTTTATAGACACCTAAGCTACAAATCAATAAAAAAAATAAAGCGTGGGTGACTACTAAAAATATTGGTGAACTTAAAGTGTTTTTTTTTCTAGCTATTTTATAGTTTAATTAATTATTAGTAAATAATACCGTATAAATCAAAATATGAATTTGTTCTAAAATCTCCATAATATGATGCTTTCAAAAATGTATAACACATTATACTTATTATTCATAAAAGGTTTTATAGAAAATAACTTTTAGAGCGATGAAGCAAATTAGTTTCAATTGAAGATTTACAAAAATATGAAACTGTAGAGCTTCAAAAATTATCAAGGAGGTTTATTAAACCTCCTTACCACTCGGTCTAGTTAAGGCACTTTTAAAATATTACAGCGTGTGTATGATATTTTGTTGACTACGATATATTTCCGTTAAATAGTCTGTAAATTATAAAAAGACGAAAAATATCAAAATAAAAAATATATAAAAATATATTTTTAAATCATTTTAAAATCATAATATCTAGTCCAAATTTAAATAAAATTTTACATTAATACGTTTTTTAGGTGAAATGAACATTATAGCTTCACAATATGATCGGTTCTGATTGTTTTTTGGCAATTTTCTTAAATTATAATTTATAGAAGTATTGTGTTTTAACAACTATTTATAGTTAATATACGTCAGAACCAATTAGAACTAGGATCAGTAGTAGAAAAAAGTAGAACTTTTTCAAAAAAATTTAACTAAATTCATGTTAATGCTGATGAAAAGAATTGGTCTAAAGACTACAAAATAGTGTTCTTTAGATTCACTTTTACGGGTAGTAAAAAGGTTTTGAAAATTATATATATATATATATATATATATATATATATATATATATATATATATATATATATATATATATAATTTTTCTTTATATATATATATATATATATATATATATATATATATATATATATATATATATATATATATATATATATATATATATATATATATATATATATATATATATATATATATATATATATATATATATATATATATATATATATATATATATATATATAATTTTTCTTTATATATATATATATATATATATAATATATATATATATATATATATATATATATATATATATATATATATATATATATATATATATATATATATATATATATAAAGAAAAGTATCTTCAAATGTTATAAAAACCTTAAGCAAAAATTATAACAATTAAAGATCTTGTTAGTATATAATATGCTGACAAAACTATGACAAAACTAATTCCAAATAAAAGTATTCGAATATTTTGTAAATCGCCGTAACTATAACGAGCAGCCGCAAATTAGGTAGCCGGCCATAATTACGGCAACCGTTTCAAGTTTGAAAACGAGGCGTACTTTTGACTTCTATATTGCGTTCGATTTCCGATTATATTGCCTATACCTCCTTTTTAATCCAATCCCTGATAATTAAACTTTATTATAAATTATCATAGATTTTGATTCTAAAAAAATGGCTTTTTCCAACACGGCAGTTATTTATCAATTTTGTGACGAAATTATTAATGGACAAAACGAAATAACTTGTGAAAAATGGAAAATGGTGCCTGATATTTTTAAAAATTTTGAGGACGTTACGAAACAAATTGAATTAGTAAACCCGAAGGAATGTTTAATTTCTGTAATAAAGAAATGTAATAGTAACAATCATAACGAAATATATAATTGTATTGAAAAAATCCAAAAAGCATTTTATTGCCTAATGTTATATTGCATAAATATTATAAGAAATCCGAAAAAAAGAGAGTTTCAAATCATCAAGGTAAAATTAATTGCATTATCATTTTTATATATTAATTTGTTGCATTATCATAAAAGTTATCATGTAAAATATATATCATATTTATAAATTATTTATATTAATGTATTATCGGATTAATCATATTATTACAAGAGTTATGCACTTTTAAAACATTAAATGGTAAAAGTTAAAAAATTTTATAATGATTTATATAAATATAATGTTACATTTAAACGCATTTTATTGTTACTTTTAATCATAAACCAAACTGTAAACACATGTATCATTCACACTTTTTGACATTTGGTTAGTACACTATGTTTGTACTTATGTCAAATATTACCCATTATTAAAGGCTTTTTTTAAAAAAGTTATATTTATATTTATCATAAAATTTCAAATTTCTTTCTGTCAAAAAATCTACTACAGCCTTTAATTCAGGGTTCCCATTCCTCCTTAAAAACCTCAAATACCCTTAAATATCCTTTAAAAATAAAAAACCTCCTTAAATGTTCTTAAATAATCTTTAAAAAAGTTAAAATTTGACTGCACTCCTTAATTTCTCCTTATTTTTATTTTTTATTTTTTTAATCATCTAGGGAATTTTAATTAAGTAAATGGGTTATACTTATACTTATAAATACTTATAAATAAAGAAGAAAATATCAAGTTCTTTGATAGTTTGCAAACCTATACTTTTATTATATATATATATATATATATATATATATATATATATATATATATATATATATATATATATATATATTATATATATATATATATATATATATATATATATATATATATATATATATATATATATATATATATATATATTATATATATATATATATATATATATATAATAGCAACAATCATAACGAAATATATAATTGTATTGAAAAAATCTAAAAAGCATTTTATTGCCTAATGTTATATTGCATAAATATTATAAGAAATTTGAAAAAAAAAAGAGAGTTAAAAGCAGAATCTTATTTTTTTCATTAAATTTTTAATATAAATAAAAAAATTATTATAAATTTATATATCACTATATATATATATATATATATATATATATATATATATATATATATATATATATATATATATATATATATATATATATATATATATATATATATATATATATATATATATCTGAAAAAAAAAAAGACAAAAACATGTGAAAAACATTCAAAAACAAAAGTATTATTATTTTAATTTTTTTGTAACAGACATAAAAATTTTAGGTTAATATTGGACTATGAAAAGTGTATAGAGAGGGACACTGCACTTTAAAATTTTGACTATTTTAGCCAAGGATGCAGAGTCTCAAAAAGTCTCCGGCTTTATTGCTCTGTTTTTTCCTGGTCTCTGGTGTCAAAAAGCTCTAAACATATTCGCTGACATTATCTTCTATAAGAAAAATCTTTATGAGATTTAATGACTTGAAAATATTATTTTAAATATGGAGTCTTGGAGTTCCTGCTGCCTAGAGGAACAATTAATTTAGAGGAACAATTAATTTATGAACCTAGAGTCCTAAAGGACTCTAGGTTCATAAATTAATTGTTCCTCTAACCTAAAAGTCTCAGTTTTTTTCCTAGTAGTAGTCCATAAGCTTTTTTATATTTTTAGAGCAAATATATACCAAAAGCTAGGAAGAAGTAATCTTTTTGTGATTTTTCCTGGTTTTAGCAAAAAACGGATAAATATACTAAACTGGCCATATTGCCTCATGGTGTCTATAACACCCCATATAGCAGTATATTTAAATAACCTAAGGTTGCGAATGATCAACTTTTTTGCAGGTTTTTATTCTTATATTCTAGATAAAAAAGCTCATGAAAGATATAAAAGATTATGATAATTGATTACATTATAGTTATTATTATTATTACATTATAGTTATAGTTATTATTATTTTTACATTATTATTATTTTGAAGGTTATTTTTTTAGTTGTACTGTAATGATTTATATCAATAAATACAATAAATCAAGAATTATCTTTTTCCGGATATTTCGGGAATTCTGGATTTTTCTCAACTTTTAGATTTTCTGAATAGCCAAAACATTTTTCATATTTTTGTAATATAAATGTTTTTTTGTGAAGGCAGGTGCAGGCATCTGCTATTCCTGCCAAGGCCTATATATATATATATATATATATATATATATATATATATATATATATATATATATATATATATATATATATATATATATATATATATATATATATATATATATATATATATATATATTAGACACTGGTGTTACCGCATTGGTGGCACAAAAGTGATTTTTTTTGATTATGTGATAAAGAGCAATTAAAAATTGTATTGAATCGCTCACAATTATTTAGATAAAAATTGATGCGCAATATATCGCCTGGCGACTTGCTCTATAATAATCGCTTCACAATTTATCGCATCAGTGATTTAAAAATGTTAATAAATGAAACAAAGTCCTGTTCTTATACTTTTGAATTAGTAACTTGGCTTTTATGAGTTTTCTATTAATTGCGAGAATAGCAATAAGTATAATATTTAATTGCTAAATTAGATTTCTAGAGTTTATGGAAATATTTGACAATAATAGTGATCTTTGCAACAAATAGTAATTTTTTGATAAAATTGCGGTATGTTGCAAGAATAACAATAAAAATACATTTTAATCATAATCGCTGCAATTTTTGTGCTCATAAATCAAAAAATGTTGCATTTCAATTAGTTAGCAGCTAATTATAATCGAAAAATCGCTTTTCAATTATCTAACTAAATACCGTAATCATAAATAACTGCTATCAATTCCTTTTTTTAAAATCGCTATGTGTGTGTGTATATATATATATATATATATATATATATATATATATATATATATATATATATATATATATATATATATATACATATATATCAGGCTTGGTCGGGAAGCGGGTGTGATCGCACTCGATAATTGACCACAGAAATAATACTTAGTTGCGAAAATAAATACGATTAGAGTAAATATTTTTGAAACGTCGCTCTTTTATAAGTTTGAAATGTTTAACACATTTGAAACATTTCTTCTTAGTATAATAAACAGATGAAATAATTAAATCATTGAGATACTGTAGAAATTCAATTAGCTAGATAGAAATTACCTAAAAACATTAAATTACTTTGGGAGGAGGAAGCAGAACTGCTTCACAATACCGCTTATAATGTTTAGTGAATGGGCTTTATAATTTTAATTAGTATTTAAAACAGAAAAAGTAACTTTAAGTTTAAGTATAACGAGTTCGTAAGAATGGCTAAAGCAAAAATAATTAAAGTTAGTAAACCAATTTCTAAGAACTTAAAAACTTTTCTTTCTTGGGGGAAAGAATCAGTTATTGGGTACACTAAGGAAAATGAATTAGTGGTTAAAGTTTTTTTGTATTAACTTTGATGATTATTAATAATTTCATTGAAAACGTAGTTATTATTGAAAGTGTTTTTGTTTACAAAATCAATCGCACAAATTGCTTTAAAAGATTACATTTGAACAAAATATACATACATAAAATTACATACGTAAAAAATACATTACATACATAAAAATACATTACATACATAAAAATACATTACATACATAAAAAATACATCCCTTATATATAAAAAATAAGAATATATAAATAAGATCTATAATATATTTACAAAATATAACTTTGACAAGTTAAAAAATATAAACTTAAAACATTTATTTTTGTAAACAAATAATGTTAGTTTAAAACATTTGTAGCTTTGTAGATGTGGCTCCAAGAATGAGCCATAGTATTAAAAAAATAGTTCGTTTGATAGTTTATTCTTAAAACTATTTAAGCTAGAAATCTCAACAAAAACATAACAAAGCTCAAATAATACAACTTTTTAAAATATTTCAACAAAATACTCTAGAACATTCAGTTAGTATTTTTTAAATACTCTAGAAATTTCGGTTAGTATTTTTTGAACCAATAGAATTAGTTGTTTCTAGATTTGGCGGGATTTTTGTGTTCGCAAATATTCTTTTTTTTATTTCTCCGCACAGAGCATCGACTCTATGTATGTTTCCATGTATGTCCGTAAAACAAAATTTATATTTAAATATTAATTATTTTGAGGACAAGCAAAAAAACATTCGTAAACTTAAATGTTCTCAAAACAACTATTATATATATATATATATATATATATATATATATATATATATATATATATATATATATATATATATATATATATATATATATATATATATATTTAATTATTCATCTTCCCAAGGCCCGATGGGGCCACTACAGTCGAGGAGGCTACTCGTTTTTTTTTTTTTTTTTTTTTTTTATATATATATTTTTTTTTTTTTTTTTGTAAATAGTGGTACAACCCTCTCTAAATCTCTCAACTCTTTAACTCCGAAACTTGAACCTTGACAAGCAAGACCGCTGAGCGGAGAAATTAAGTTTAGCGTGGTACTTCCAGGGACGTGGTGGGAATCAAACTCCTAACCTCTTGCTTACAAATCGAGCGCTCTTACCACTACACCACTACCGCATGAATATATATATATCGGTAGTGGTGTAGTGGTTGAGCGCTCGCTTCATAAGCTTGAGGTTCTGAGTTCGATTCCCACCATGTCCCTAGTAGTACTGCGCTCAACTTGTTTCTCCGCCCAGCGGTCTTGTTCGTCAAGGTTCGTGTTTTGGAGTTATAGAGTTGAGAGAGGGTTATAACCACAAGTAGCCTCCTCATCTGTAGTGGCCTTCTCAGCCTTGGGGAGGTGAATAAAATCAAAAAAAGATATATATATATATATATATATATATATATATATATATATATATATATATATATATATATATATATATATATATATATATATATATATTATATTTGGTCACTTAAGCTTTGAACATTTATTTATCATGCATAAATAAAAAAAATTTAATTTTTTTTCCTGAAACATGCAGAAAAATATTTTGATAATTAGTATATCGTAAAAATTAAA